AGAGAGAGAGAGAGAGAGAGAGAGAGAGAGAGAGAGAGAGAGAGAGAGAGAGAGAGAGAGAGAGAAATTTGAAATTGCGAAGTCATGCAAGTGATCAACCTCTTTGTGCGTCAGAGTGACTGCATTTGTATTGTCAGGTGGCAGGAGATCGCATAATCTGGGAAAAAAAAAAAATTCTAGAAAAAAAACCATCGGAATAGTTGCCTCGTCCATCATTGCGATAAGGTTGGCTACTGCGGGCCAATCATGTCTGCACATCCCACATTTCATGTCATTTTGGCCCGTAGTAGTCAAGTTTCCTCGCATCGTGTTCGGTGACCTGGACAACATCTCATTCCATGAAAGTGTTGCTCTCTCTTCTGTTTATTATGGTTTGCAACGCTGTGGCCTCTTGTGAAGCCGCTAAAGTCCCGTTGCCTTTTGTGACTGCAGCACAGGCAGCAAGCCGGTCCACCATCGACTCGCGAAATTGTTGAACAGTTCTTTCGTTCACCGTTGTAGTTTTGATAACTTCCAGTACGTCCTTGGCCGTCAGATCCTTTGCCGCGGTTCTTCCAAGAAATTGTATTACGGTGGTAGCGATACAACACACATAAACACCACAGTCCGTGTGATTGTTCTATTGCGGGCATTCCGCATGCACAAGTTTACTTCCTGCCAGATCCCTGCATGTCACCTACGAAAAATGAACCTTTTCGGGTGTCAAAGCCTGCAAATTCGATGCCTCGTGAAGGTACTCGTGCCACAAAAGTGTTCGCAACGCCGTCCATTCGTCTCGTTTTTTTTCTCTCATTGAGTCAACGACGATAACAATGGGAGGGTCGGATATGCGGCTGTCCGCAGTGACCTCCAAGAAGGACCTCGCATTCAGCAACAGAAGAAGAATCCATTGTTTGTTACAGTTCACTGGTATCACAGTGACCGGCGCGCGTCGCAGTTCGTTGCACAGTCGATGCAATTTTTGTGGTCTCTTCTTAATTGCGTCCTCCCATCCTCTTTTCGTCAGTTTTCTAAATTTTTGATTGGCGACGACCTCGGGGTGCCAGAAAGTTGTGCAGACGTGAACATAAGACCTGTCCTGGCCTCGCCCAACCTCTTCATACACAGACTGCAAATAAATGTCAATAATATTGTCGTTCAGCCATCCGTCGTCTGACAACCGTTCAATGTCGGATTTTGATACAGGTATGGCGTGTTGCGAAAATTTCCATGTAAAAGGGAACAATTCGACCATGTCAGTGATGTCGGTCTGCTCATCTCTCGCTCTTGTCTTGTCCCCTGCTTTCCGTTTTCCCATACAACAGGAAGAMTRWTCCCCGCASGACTGGGGCCACTSTGCTGCACCCTCAGTCAGTAAATCGTACATTTYCGCGCACCATGGRTCTGATAACATGTYCTGCCAGCTCTGTGCTGACCTCTGGCTGCTCGATGGCAACAACGGTTTTCCCTCCCTGGCACCATTACCCGTTTCAGTGCGCTGGTATGGCCCCTTCGCAGCGGCCGACCAATTACTACTGTTGTGCAACTCTGATACACTGTTGTCCTCCGACGGCGGGGACACCTCGAGGGAATGAACCGTCTCGTATTTTTGCAACGCGACGTGCATTATCGATAAGAATGCAGTTCACCAATCGCGGTGCCACAAGACGGCGTGCGCTTCTCGAGGCCAGTCGTCACTACGCAGATCCAACTCCTTCCACCCAGCGGCCTCTGCTAGACTGCCCGCCCATGCGAAGCACTCTCGACTGTTGTGGTACGCAATGTCCGTCGCGCTGAATCTCGGGTCTTTGAGAAGTGACAAGAGAGCATCAACGTCCGTATGTGACATACCGACGCCGCCCCTGCTCCTGGCGGAGAAAATAAGCGCTGCTAGCCTGCTCGAGCTGTCAAAAGGCTCGACGGGTTGCGCTGCTGGCTCTGCGTTATCACCGGCTGCCCCGTTCGCGTCGTCCTCCGCCCCCACGTCCTCGCTCTTATCACGAGCGAGATTGGCTGCGCCTATGTTGGATGGTCCCGGGTCGTGGGCAACATCATTCTCCTGCCTTTGCGCTCCCTCATCCGCCACGGCAGGGCATGCCCTCGCACAATGCGAGTTTAAAGTCTGTAAGGACATGAAAGGTCTGCCGCAGTCGCACACCCGTGGACCGCTGTCCATTTCTTGTGCACGCAGTTCATTCCAAAGACAAACAGAGCGAAGCGGACAGTGCTTCGTTAGCATTTTAGACATATGGTTGGGGCATGTGCACTACATAATGCTGACCATGTTTTCTTATGCGGTGTGAGTGTTGCACGTTGTGGAAAATGCATCTAAGCATGTGTTTTCCACGTATCCGTCGTAATCAGTGATATTGCCCATACGAGCCAAGCTCTGACTCACTTTCCCGGACGTGTACACTACCTTCAAGATAGAGACTTGAG